TGTCAATCAAAAATGAAATAAGCACATTTTACATTTCACTCCCAAATCAAACAAATGTCTAAGATTTTACAATATATTTTAAAAGTTTCAAAGAAAAGTATCTAAACCTGAAATTATACAGTAAAGCAACTCAAGTTTGCTTTTAACCCTTTCGGTTTCGGCCATACTAGTACGGCTTAGCCCCAGGGTTTTTGACGTACTAGTACGCCTAAATTCTAGCGCCCTCAAATTTAGTGAGAGAAAGCGGTAGGCCCTACATATGAAAGAAGGGGTCTATGTGGTCAGTGTGCGCATTTATAAAAAAAAATCCTGCAGCACACAGTGCGTAATGAGAAAAAAAAAAAATGCTGTTTTTGGATTAAAACGTGACTTTGCACTGCTTTTTCGTTATGGTAATTTATGGCTGTATTTAGTTTTCCTGATTCATTTTTTTTGAATGAGCCATATTACAGAAATTGAGATGATTTTGACTGGTTTTACAATGAAAAAGTACTTTGAAATTGAGCTCAAAGTAGCAGAAATGTTCAATTTTTCCAAAGTTCAAAAGTAAACAATCATGCAAGGTCAAATACCGTCAACTGGTGAGTCTAATTTTTCTTTCACAAGTGCGCTGATATTATTTATACCATTTTACACTAATGCAGTAGTTGCTAACAGTAAATCTTCTATTTTTTGTAAGAATAAAAATTCAAAGTGGAAGCCAAAGAAATATAAGAGGGGCTGGAGATGTGACTAACGAACAGAGAAACTTGTTATTTTAGTGCCAGAAATGTCTTTCTTGTTTATTCTGGCCCCTATTCGGAATTGGCATCTTTTGAAGTTTGTGTGAAATTGGCAAAATTTCTAAATTCTGAGCACTTTCTTGGATAGTTGAAATCGGTAAATGGGTGGTTTCTTGTACTTATTTGATAGAAAAATGGAGATTCTAGCGAAATAGTTATGATTTTTGTCGACTAGTACACTGGATTGGCCGAAAATAGAGCTCAAAGTGGGCAAAATCGACGATGCGTAAACATCCCCGGTCCACTAACTTCGGGGAGAGCATAATTCCGTAACTTTTCCATCAAATTTCATACTTTTGGTGTCATTATGATCAGGGAAAGATTATTTTTTTCATAAGAAAAATTTTTTTTTTTTTTTTTTTAAATTTGGGCGACCCTGAGAAAAAAGTCTCGGAGAGGGCCCGGCGGACCTGAAAGGGTTAAAAAATGGAAAAGTATATACACGTCAAAATGTATATAATCTTCATTTATAATTTTTTTTTGTTTTTTAATACAGCCATTTCCCACCAAGGTAAAATGACTCGACTATTTTGCCAGGACGTGTGGGGATTCTACAATTCAAATGGCTGCAACATCCACGCCTTTTCCTTTCAGAGTGCTGGCCCTTTATTGTATGAAAGCTAACCACATGTTAAATAGCAATCCACTTGTGATCATGAATAAGAGAAGAAATAAATATAGTTGTGGTATATAGAAATTAGACAAAATCTGCACCAATTCCAGGTTTACCTGGAGTTAACATACTTTTAATTCAAGGTACAAGCAGAAGAGACTTACCTGCCTTTTACCACTTTCATCTCGCTTGAGACCACGTACAGAGCCCCATTTGATCTCCAGCCTGACCCTCTTCCAGGGTCTGATGAAACATCTCAATACGTAATGGTGCTCTTTAATTTCCTCCCAAAAACCAAGAAACTCACACTCTGACCCTTCTTTATCATGCCGCGCTCCAGTCGACCACTAACAACGTACCCGGCTGTAATGCACTTTGCGATATAGGTTAACCAGCCCACCCCCATAAAAAAATAAAGGTCTCCCAACAGAGTATACAACAAGCAACCTTCCATCGCAAGTTCTAATCCTTGGCTCCACTCTCACTGTAATGTGAAATACAAAGTATTAGCTTCATTTTCTCTATCTTCACTCCTGCAAGAGGCCTTACATCCTTTCTTTTTTGGGTGTGTGTGTGCTTTCTCCCACATTTTTACTTTCCATATGCTTACTAAGAAGAGCATATGCCTTTCTGTTTTTTCTTTACTCTCACAGAAAGATGTAATAAATGCTCATTCTGATGACTACTAAATTTTAAGGATGTGGAATTCTTTGATAAATGTTTAACCCCTTTAATGATGGGGTTCACAAACGAAGCAAAGTCCAAAATACAGACAAAAATTATTACTTTAATGGGAAGCAAGGGGGGTTAGAAAAGTCATCAATCTGTTTTTTCACATAAGTAAATTCAGCTGTATCTGACATTTAAATTGAGAAACAACTCAACCCAGAGGTCAATAGCATCTGAGGAATAGGAGGCAATCAGCTTCAATCCAAGGGGAAGAAAAATCCGCTCTTTTGATAAAGAAATTTTCAGGGGCAAAAGCATTTCCTGAAAGGGCCACTGTTTAAATGCAAAAATTATTCTAAAAAAAAAAAGTCCTGTTAAATAATGCTATTTAAATTTAGGCTGGTCTAATTTATTTATAACAATAATAAAAAGGGGGGGATAAATCTGTATGGGTAATGAGTGCTGCTAGGGTGACTTAAGATACAAGTGGGTAGGATTAAGCTAAATTATATTAGCCTCATTTTATCAAACCCGATTGCCTCCCATTTCACGGGGGGTTGCATGACCACTATCGGTTTATGCTTTCCCCCCTGAATTTAATAAAGCTAACTTAACAAGGTTACATTTTATATTTGGGTTTTTAGCTTAAGGGCAGAGTTTGAAATCTGTATAAAATGTTAATTAAAAAAGATATAAATTCAGAGAATTTTTTAAAATTACTTATTTAGGCGGGTCAGGTTGTCTGACCAACTAAACCTACATATGAAATATAAAAGCAAAAGCTTAAGCAGGTGATTGTTTCTTTTTAAAACTAGTCATATAAAAATCTGCCTGCTAAATTGAAATGCTTATTTCTCTGTAAAGATTACAATTATGGTTTACATACAAAACATTAGTTACAAAGAAGACCACTAGCATGCCTAGGCATTTCGGCCAGACTAATATACTAATTCTTACTCTATATTGGCAATGTATACATAAGCTAGAGTATCACATTTACATTTCTGCAAAAATACTCAAGAGCCTCACCTACACAAATTGCTCACCATGTAGAATAGGGACAAACTAGGACCATCTCATAAATATCTTCTTCCAACAAACCGGCCGTATCCTACTGAGGCAGGGTGGACCAAAAGGAAAAACTAAGTTTCTCCTTTTAAATTTAGTAATGTATACAGGAGAAGGGGTTACTAACCCCTTGTTCCCTGGCATTTTAGTCGCCCCTTACAACACGCATGGCTTACGGAGGAAAAATTCTGTTCCACTTCCCAGTGGAGATAAGCAGAAATAAACAAGAACTAGTAAGAAGATAGAAGAAAACCCAGAGGGGGTGTGTATATATCTGCATGAAACATGTATGTGAAGTATGACCAAAGTGTAAGTAGAAGTAGCAAGAGTACTGAAATCTTGCACGTTTATGAGACAGAAAAAAGAAAATTCATCATCCTACCATTTTTTTTTTTCAACAACTGGCCATATCCCACCAAGGCAGGGTGGCCCAAAAAGAAAAAATGAAAGATTCTCTTTTTACATTTTAGGTTTTAAAATACAGGAGAGGGGTTACTAGCCCCTTGCTCCTGGCATTTTTAGTCGCTTCTTACAACACGCATGGCTTACGGAGGAAAAATTCTGTTCCACTTCCCCATGGAGGTAAGAGGAAATAAAGAACAACAAGAACTATAAAGAAAATAGAAGAAAGCCCAGAGGGGTGTGTATATATATGTTTGTACATGTATGTGTACTGTGACCTAAGTGTAAGTAGAAGTAGCAAGACGTACCTGAAATCTCGCATGTGTACGAGACAGAAAAAAAAAAGACACCAGCTATCCTACCATCGTGTAAAACAATTACAGGCTTCCGTTTTACACTCACTTGGCAGGACGGTAGTACCTCCCTGGGCAGCTGCTGTCTACAAACCTACTACCTAGATCTCAAATACAGTGGAGCCTCGGTTTTAGTCATTAATTCGTTCCAGAAAGTCTGACGAAAACCGAATTCGACAAAAACTGAAGCAATATTTCCCACAAGAAATAATGTAAATCCAATTAATCCATTCCAGACACCCAAAAGTATTAACAAAAATACATTTTATAGAGAATAAGTATAGTTTTACATACAGAAAACAATGAGAAATAAATATAAAGGACTAATGAAATGGACAAATGAACATTTAATATCACTTTTACCTTTACTGAACACTCTTGTTGGCGTATGGAAGATACGAGGAGGGAAGAGGGAGGAGGAGAGGTTATTGCTTGGAAGGGAAATCCCCCTCCATAAGGACTTCAGGTATCAAGTCCCTATCTGGGGTTATTTCCCTTCTTTGACTTTTACAGGCACTGACCCCTGCCACACAAAAAATCTGTCCAGAGAGGTCTGTTTCTAGCATCTCTAAGACTTGCCTAAAATGGGACAAGGCATTGTCATTGAACATGTTGCAGACACAGCTTGCAATAGCTTAGTTAGGGTGATATTTCTCCATGAAACTTTGCAACTCAATCCACTTTGCACACATGTCCTTAATCACTGAAGAAGGCACATTCTCCCCTGTCTCTTCCTCCTCCTCTGAAGCAATTTCCTCAGCTGCGGTCACTTTCGTACATTGCTACTCTCCAATGCCACTTTCATACTTTGCTACAAGTTCTTTCTTGAATTCTATCGTATTTCTCGCCTTCTTTATAAAAGGACTGGCACTCAGAGCTTTCTTTGGCCCCATGGTGGCTTATTTAGTAGTCGCACTCAATAAAGAAGCACAAAAAACAACGGATTTTTACGAAATGTTTCGGATGAACGCGTAGGGTAATGCTCACTCAACGAGAGAGAAAGCCAGACCGATGCAGAATGTGTGGGATGATTTGTGTGGGATGGGGCAAGTGGACACCTTCAGTACAGTGGACAGATGAAAACCAAGGTGATGAACGAAAACTGGGACAAAACTTTGACGAAAAAACGTCGTCGAAAACCGAATTCAACGAAAACCAGAGCAAACGAAAACCGAGGTTCCACTGTACATAAAATATAAAAAGCTGTAGGTCCTTAGTTTTGACAGTACTGAAGCAGTACCTAAAAGAACATGCACAAAAGAGCAAAAATGATGAAGGTTACTGATGTATAAATATGTCAAATGGTTTGGTGAAACAAGCAGCATGAAGAAGGGATGATTCAATAAAGTATTCTTCCCAGTGATAAAGGCTGACAAGGAAAGAGTTGTCAGGTATTAGCAATACAGACTTTCATTCAAGATAAATTAAGAATTAAACCATACTATATAGATTTTTTTACCAATATATAATAATTCGAAGATTTTAAAAAAATCTAGTGAACAAACCAGCAATGGAGTAGACACTCTCCACAGGTAGCAAGAATGGTTTGTCCAAATCACGCAGAGGAGTTGGAATATGCTTATCAACTATTTCCATAAGCTCTTCAATAGCCTTAACACCTGTAAAGAAAAATTATGATAAGCATTTCCAATGAAAAGCATGAAATTTTATTAATAAATTATAATTCATATTTTATTATTAAATTTCAGTAAAGCACTAAATCAGAGCTTTTTTCAGCAACGATTACATTTACAGATAAGAGAAGAGATTTATATTTTATAGTTCCTACTGAAGTAACATAGAAACATACATTGAAGATATCCTGGATGACTTATTTTCTTTTAAATAAAATATTTAAAGAAATTTAGTCTTTGACCACTTCTAAGGAGTTACTTAGCATTTATTTTCAGTATCTAATACATTCACATTCCTGAAATTTTTCACTTGCTACTTTAATCTTGGTTGTGAGGAAAACAATTAAAAGTACAGTACAGTAAAACTTCAGTATAACAGATTAACAGGGAGGAGGATGTCGGCTTAAACAAAAACCAAGAGGCGGCGGCTGGAGGGAGTGGAGATGTCCTGTCTAAGGGCAATGTATGGTGTAAATATTATGCAGAGAATTCGTAGTGTGGGAATTAGGATGCGGTGTGGAGTTACTATAATTATTAGTCAGAGGGCTGAAGATGGATTGTTGAAGTGGTTTGGTTATTTAGAGAGAAAGGAACAAAGTAGAACAACTTGGAGAGCATATAAATCTGTAGGGGAAAGAAGGTGGGATAGGGGTCGTCCTCAAAAAGGTTGGAGGGAGGGAGTAAAAAAGGTTTTGTGGGCAAGGGGCTTGGACTTCCAGCAAGTATGCGCGAGTGTGTTAGATAGGAATGAATAGACAAATGGTTTTTGGAACCTGATGAGCTGTTAGAGTGTGAGAAGGCTAATACTTTGTGAAGGGATTCAGGAAAATCAGTTAGTAGGACTTGAGTCCTGGAAAAGGGAAGTACAATGCCTGCACTTTAAAGGTGGTGTTTGGGATATTGACAGTTTTGAGGGATGTCTAAACTGTCCTATCTCAGCGCCTCTGCAAAGACAGTGATTATGTATGAGTGATGGTGAAAGTGTTGAGTCACCCTGTCTTGGTGGGAAACAGTCGATGTGTTAAAAAAAAAAAAAACTAGAACATATTTCTCACTCAGCAAAAAAGAAAGAAAGAAAAAAAAAAAAAAAAAAAAAAAAAAAAAAAAAAAAAAAAACACATTACAGGCAGCAAGATAAACCCTTACATTAATTTTTTACTAGAATTAATATCCATATTTTCCTATACAATACAATGGGAAAGAAGTCACAACACCTGCCAGAGAGTTTATATTATTAAGGCTATGATTTAAATGAAGACATAGGTCTACCATACCTATTTTGTCATTATTTCCTTCGATGGCAGCCAGAGCAGATCCCTTCACAACTGGAACACTATCACCATCATAACCCATTTCTGTCATCAGTTCACGGACTTCCATTTCCACTAACTCTACCATCTCCTCATCAGCGGCATCAAGCTGGAAAATGTTGCATTATTAATAATTAATGGAATACAGTAGGGTCTCGCTTTACAGCGTTTCACCTTACAGTGTTCCATTAATACAGCGATTTCAAATTATGACCAAAATTTGTTATACAGCGAGTGGTCTTTCAAATACAGCGCACCCCACCTGGTTTGTTTACATTCTCCATAAGCACATCTCTATTATGTCTGAAAGCTTTGCAAAATTTCAAGTGTTTCAAAGTTACTGCATATTTTATATGTACTCTGATAATTATACTAATGTGTACCTGTACCTAAATATACTTTCACACTGTGCTGGCATGCCGGTACACATTAAAATCACTAATAGTCTCTACTCTTGACTCCATATTAATAAAAATACGTAATCTCTCAGGTGCATTAAATGTTGTATATTGCATTAATATAGACATTTCCATGAATCCATCTACGATATTTTTTTTTCAAAATTATATAACACGCTAAGTAACAAACATGATACATACACCCACAGTGTAAAAACAACATAAATGAGATTTGCTTACCAAGTGGTTTGTAGGAGTTGGAAGAATTACGTTATCTCTAGCCAAACACCAGTAACTTAACTAGAAATTTATTCCTTTCATATGCCTTCACTCTAGCTATTCACGACCCTTGTGGGCTTAGTGGTTCTTTTTTACTATGACTGTAATAACAACAACTTGTAATAACAACAACAGAGCATCATTCTTTCTAAAAATTACATGAGAATGGAAGTGTTGGTCTTTATTTATTCTACTATACAACTGTGGAGACAACTTGTACACAATGTAAAGTGTTTGTATGAATGTTTACGAACCATAACTAGATGCTTTGTCTGTTTGTTTACATAGTGAGTAGGGAGGCCAGGCGGACAACCCTACCCTACTTCCCACACGACTTTCTACAAATAAATACTTTTCACCTCTCACCCTACATTAAGACTACAAATATTTTAAGGTAAGTAATGAGTGTACTGTATATGCATTTTATCACTCTAGGGAGCTTTAAGCATCATCATAGTATATTATGTGTGGGTGGGGTGGCCAGGAGGGCTACCGCACCTGACTTCTTACAATAAATACTACTCACCTTTTGCCCTACATAAAGATTTGCAAATATTTTGAGGTAAATAATGAGTGTACTGTGTGTGTACTTTACTTTTTATTGTTTTTTAATATCTAGTTTTATTGCTAACTTAATATATGTTAGTGTGAACTTGTTATATGGCATTTATATGCATTTATAAGTGGAAAAAAATAGCGTTCTGCTTTCCAGCAGTAGCCTGAAACCTAACTTGCCGCATAAGTGGGGCCCTACTGTATATATATTGTCAAAAGCATAAATATTCATTATATATCAAGAGCAGCTGGCCATTTCAAATGAAAAATACTTAATCAGTACAATTATGAAATACTGTTTCTTTAAATACATAATTAGCTAAACAACCACAACAAATATCACACTGTTTTACACTAGTTCAACTTCATTCGTAATAAGCAATTTAATCAGTATAGGCAATCTACAAATAATTCATTATCACTAACCTTATTTATGAAGACTACAATGTGTTCAATGCCAATTTGCTTGGAAAGAATGAGATGTTCTCTGGTCTGAGGCATCACTCCATCTGTGGCTGCCACTACCAAGATTGCTCCATCCATTTGCGAGGTGCCAATGATCATGTTCTGTCATGGACATGAAACATCACTAACAATGCCATAACAATGATTATGCTGTGCTTGGGGAAACATCTAACATTATTTTTAGTAGCACCATCAAAGAAACAGTACTGTATAATATTTTTGCAATGCAATATAAATGAAGCAGAAATGTGTTGCCTATCTACAAGTGTTTCCACCAAGTATTTCTATACAGTGGAACCCCGGTTCCCGATGCTATCGGTATCCGATAAATCCGTAGCCGATGCATTTGATCGAAAAAAATTTGCCTCGCTTCCCGATACAAAACCCGGTATGCGATACGATGCATATGAGACTGTCCACGTGTGGGCCTGAACTGCCCCGTGTGTGCCAGTGTTTAAAAAGCCAGCCAGTGTGCGCGCATCTAAGGATACATTCGGTACTTCCATATTACCCCACATTATCACTGTTTTTTGGTGCTTGTTTCTGCAAAATAAGTCACCATGGGCCCCAAGAAAACTTCTAGTGCCAACCCTGTGGTAAAAAGGATGAGAATTAGTATGGAAATTAAGAAAGATTTTGAAGGTTTGGGCTAACCCTGAGAAGCCTATGCCAGTTGTGGACTCCATTGTGCCTACTTCAAAAATTAAGGAAATGTGTGCAAAGTGGGTTGAACTGCAAACCTTTATGGATGAAAATCACCTTAACACAGCTATTGCAAGCCGTGCTGGTGACTATTACAATGACAATGTTATGGCCCATTTTAGACAAATCTTAAAGGAATGGCAACAGAGGTCCAGTGACTCTCAAGCTGGTCCTTTTATTATTTTATTATCACACTGGCCGATTCCCACCAAGGCAGGGTGGCCCGAAAAAGAAAAACTTTCACCATCATTCACTCCATCACTGTCTTGCCAGAAGGGTGCTTTACACTACAATTTTTAAACTGCAACATTAGCACCCCTCCTTCAGAGTGCAGGCACTGTACTTCCCATCTCCAGGACTCAAGTCCGGCCTGCCGGTTTCCCTGAATCCCTTCATAAATGTTACTTTGCTCACACTCCAACAGCACGTCAAGTGCTGTTGGTCCTAGTGGCATTAAAAGAAGAAGGGAAGTAACCCCAGAAAAGGACTTGACACCAAGTCTTAATGGAAGGGGATTCCCCTTCTAAACACTAAGACCATCGACACTCTCCCCTCCTCCCATCCCATCAATCATCATCAGATCTTCAATAAAGGTAAGCGTCATGTAACTGTGCATGTCTTCTTCAGTTTGTGTGTATTAAAATTAATATTTCATGTGGTAAAAAAAAGTTCTTTTTCATACTTTTGGGTGTCTTGCACGGATTAATTTGATTTCCATTATTTCTTATGGGGAAAACTGATTCGCTTTCCGATAATTTTGGCTTACAATGAGCTCTCAGGAACGGATTAATATCGTGAACCAGGGGTCCACTGTACTTATGATATCCCTTTGAAGAGTTTCGAGTTTCTCTACTCTCTGAGCCTGGCCATGGGCCAGGCTAGTCTGGTGCTTGCCTGGTCAACCAGGCTGTTGCTAGCTGTAGTTACTGCTTTAAGTATTTTTTGTTCCTTTGTGTCAATTACAGTAGACCCTCAGTTAATGACATTGATAAGGACAGAAAGAATAGTTCGTTAAACGCAAAATATGTTGAGCAAATAGTATATTGCCACGGAAGCCCATGTTATATAATTTGATAATATTCCACAACAAATTCCAATTAAATTTTTCAATGAAATTTAAAATTTATGTACATGGCAGAGATGGGTCTGATGTTCAGCCGAGTCAATGGTGTTATACCCCTGCTTTACGAGTTAATAAAAAAAAGTTAATAATTACACAAATTCTGATCATGTCTGAAAAGTGATATCCTTTTACATACTGTACATCCTGCCAATTTTCTCTCCTCTTACCAGAGATGAATCCACTGTTTAATAGAGAAATAGTGCTTTTATATCCTGGTTTTATGAACACAAGAACTTTGTATAGAAAGGGGTTTAGTTATAGGTAATACATATTTTAAGAAAAAGAGGATAAAAAAGTATACAAGATATGATGTAGGGCGAAATGACAGTAGTTTGTTGGATTATGTATTGGTAGATAAAAGATTGTTGAGTAGACTTCAGGACATACATGTTTATAGAGAGGCCACAGATATATCAGATCACTTTTTAGTTGTAGCTACACTGAGAGTAAAAGGTAAATGGGATACAAGGAGAATAGAAGCATCAGGGAAGAGAGAGGTGAAGGTTTATAAACTAAAAGAGGAGGCAGTTAGGGTAAGATATAAACAGCTATTGGAGGATAGATGGGCTAATGAGAACATAGGCAATGGGGTCGAAGAGGTATGGGGTAGGTTTAAAAATGTAGTGTTAGGTGTTCAGCAGAAGTTTGTGGTTACAGGAAAGTGGGTGCGGGAGGGAAGAGGAGCGATTGGTGGAATGATGATGTAAAGAGAGTAGTAAGGGAGAAAAAGTTAGCATATGAGAAGTTTTTACAAAGTAGAAGTGATGCAAGGAGGGAAGATTATATGGAGAAAAAGAGAGAGGTTAAGAAAGTGGTGAAGCAATGTAAAAAGAGAGCAGAGGAGAGAGTGGGTGAGATGTTATCAACAAAGTTTGTTGAAAATAAGAAAAAGTTTTGGAGTGACATTAACAAGTTAAGGAAGCCTAGAGACAAATGAATTTGTCAGTTAAAAACAGGAGAGGAGAGTTATTAAATGGAGAGTTAGAGGTATTAGGAAGATGGAGGGAATATTTTGAGGAATTGTTAAATGTTGATGAAGATAGGGAAGCTGTGATTTCGTGTATGGGGCAAGGAGGAATAACATCTTGAAGGAGTGAAGAAGAGCCATTTGTGAGTTTGGAGGAAGTTTGTGAGGCAGTAGGTAAAATGAAAGGGGGTAAGGCAGCTGGGATTGATGGGATAAAGACGGAAATGTTAAAAGCAGGTGGGGATATAGTTTTGGAGTGGTTGGTGCTATTATTTAATAAATGTATGGAAGAGGGTAAGGTACCTAGGGATTGGCAGAGAGCATGCAGAGTTCCTTTGTATAAAGGCAAAGGGGACAAAAGAGAGTGCAAAAATTATAGGGGGATAAGTCTGTTGAGTATACATGGTAAAGTGTATGGTAGTTATTATTATTGAAAGAATTAAGAGTAAGACAGAGAATAGGATAGCAGATGAACAAGGAGGCTTTAGGAAAGGTAAGGGGTGTGTAGACCAGGTGTTTACAGTGAAACATAAGTGAACAGTATTTAGATAAGGCTAAAGAGGTTTTTGTGGCAGATGTTGCAGGTGTATGGTGTAGGAGGTAGGTTACGGAAAGCAGTGAAGAGTTTTTACGAGGATAGTGAGGCTCAAGTTAGAGTATGTAGGAAAGAGGGAGATTATTTCCCAGTAAAAGTAGGCCTCAGACAAGGATGTGTGATGTCACCGTGGTTGTTTAATATATTTATAGATGGGGTAGTAAGAGAAGTAAATGCGAGGGTCTTGGCAAGAGGCGTGGAGTTAAAAGATACAGAATCACACGAAGTGGGAGTTGTCACAGTTGCTCTTTTCTGATGACACTGTGCTCTTGGGAGATTCTGAAGAGAAGTTGCAGAGGTTGGTGGATGAATTTGGTAGGGTATGCAAAAGAAGAAAATTAAAAGTGAATACAGGAAAGAGTAAGGTTATGAGGATAACAAAAAGATTAGGTGATGAAAGATTGGATATCAGATTGGAGGGAGAGAGTATGGAGGAGGTGAATATATTCAGATATTTGGGAGTGGACGTGTCAGCGGATGGGTCTATGAAAGATGAGGTGAATCATAGAACTGATGAGGGGAAAAGGGTGAGCGGTGCACTTAGGAGTCTGTGGAGACAAAGAACTTTGTCCTTGGAGGCAAAGAGGGGAATGTATGAGAGTAGTTTTACCAACACTCTTATATGGGTGTGAAGCATGGGTGATGAACGTTGCAGCGAGGAGAAGGCTGGAGGGAGTGGAGATGTCATGTCTGAGGGCAATCTGTGGTGTGAATATAATGCAGAGAATTCGTAGTTTGGAAATTAGGAGGAGGTGCGGGATTACCAAAACTGTTGTCCAGAGGGCTGAGGAAGGGTTGTTGAGGTGGTTCGGACATGTAGAGAGAATGGAGCGAAACAGAATGACTTCAAGAGTGTATCAGTCTGTAGTGGAAGGCAGGGTAGGGGTCGGCCTCGGAAAGGTTGGAGGGAGGGGGTAAAGGAGGTTTTGTGTGCGAGGGGCTTGGACTTCCAGCGGGCATGCACGAGTGTGTTTGATAGGAGTGAATGGAGACAAACGGTTTTTAATACTTGACGTGCTGTTGGAGTGTGAGCAAAGTAACATTTATGAAGGGATTCAGGGAAACCGGCAGGCCGGACTTGAGTCCTGGAGATGGGAAGTACAGTGCCTGCACTCTGAAGGAGGGGTGTTAATGTTGCAGTTTAAAAACTGTAGTGTAAAGCACCCTTCTGGCAAGACAGTGATGGAGTGAATGATGGTGAAAGTTTTTCTTTTTTGGGCCACCCTGCCTTGGTGGGAATCGGCCAGTGTGTTAATAATAATAAAAAGAAAGACTATGGAAAATTTATCAAAAAATCAAAAAAGGTGGCACACTGTGACTATTATTAGTTTTTTTTTTAATTTTTTTATAACGGGGCGATTCCCACCAAGCAGGTGGCCCGGAAAAAGAAAAACTTCCAACATCATTCACTCCAACAATGTCTTGCCAGAAGGGTCTTTACACTAAGTATTTATAAATGCAACATTAAACCCCCTCAGAGTGAGGCACTGTAACTTTCCATCTCAGGACTCAAGTCCGGAACTGCCGGTTTCCCTGAATCCCTTCATAAAATGTTACTGTCACTACTCAACAGCACGTCAATGGATTAAAAACCATTGTCTCCATTCATTCCTATCAAACACCTCACATGCCTGCTGAAGTCCAAGTCCGCCTCGCACACAAAACCTCCTTTACCCCTCCCTCCAACCCTTCCTAGGCGACCCTACCCCGCCTTC